GTACTCATGGTTGATTAAGTCATTGGCCATCGGTGATTAACTTAACCTCCAGCTCTCCCCTTTTTCCCAGAGGTTGAGAGGTGGGGCTGAAAATTCCAACCTTCTAATCCAGGAGTTGTTCTGGCAACCAGTCTCACATGCTGGATTTTTTTAGAAAGTCCTAGAAATTGCCTCATTAGCACACACTTGAGTGTGGTTGAAAGGGGCTGGTTATGAATAACAAAGGACACTCCTTTCACTTTTATCACTTCAGAGCTATTTTTGACTGGAAGATTAAAACCAAATATTATAATAAAAGATGCTCTTTTCATCTGTTTCTGGAGCTGGGGACAATAAAAACAAATATAACAAAAAATATTCCTGTTGTTCTTATCACTTAGAAAGTTACAAGTGTTTTAGAAGCTCTGTGCCAAGAACCAGGACAAAGACCAAATATATATTTCTTATGTCATAACATCACTGTCACTGAGTTTATGAATACTTCAATTTTTGAAAACTCTTATTAATGAAAAAAATGTTTCAATAGATGTGAAGTAGGTAAACCATAAGTAAGGAACTGTTTGTTTTTTTTGTTGTTTTGGTTTTTTTTTTTTTACCATTTCCTTAACAGAAGCTTCCAGAAGAACCTCATTGTCTATGAATATGCCTATACATTTATAACAAATTTGAAAGTAACAAACATATTTTGGGGTGAATAGCTGATCTAACTGGTAGGATCTACTAAGGTTCTTTGAGAATAATGCTTGAACAAGAAATGTCACACAGGCAGTAGGGTACATGTAGTCTTAATTTGAGGTACACCAGAAGCAGGACCTGAGAAGAGAATTACACATATTTTGTGAGGTGATTCTGTTAACAGTGAATGGCACCAGATGTTAGACCTTGGTCTTTGAGTTCAGCTAAGAAAATAATTCAGAGCCAAGGAACTCAAATACAAGCAAAAATTTATTTAGCCCTGGCCGGTATGGCTCAGCTGGATAAGCATCTTCCCATGCACCAAAGAGTTTTTCAGTTCAATTCCTGGTAAGGGCACATGCCTGGGTTTTGGGCTTGCTCCCCAGTGTGTGGTGGGGGGTGGGGGGAGAGGCAGCCTATCGATGTTGCTCTCACCCTTCCCCTTTCTTTAAGATCAATTAAAAAATGTTTTTTAAATAAGTTTATTTAGAAAGTCATAGAGGTAGCCCTGGCCAGCCAACTTAGTTGGTTAGATCATCATCTGGATACACCAAGGTTGCTGGTTCAATCCCCAGTCAGGGCACATGCAAGAATCAACCAATGAATGCATAAATAAGTGGAACAACAAATTGATCTATCTCTCTCTCTCTCTCTCTCTCTCTCTCTCTCTCTCTCTCTCCCTCCCTCCCTCTCTCTCTCCCTCCCTCCCTCCCTCTCAGTTCAGAGTGTGGATTCCGGAAGAAAGTTAAAGAGGGTTCAGTACTATTCGAAGTTTCAAGGCATCTACTGGGAGTGTTGGAATGCATCTCCCACAGACAAGGGGGGCTACTATATAAATTATTTTCAGGTTTACAACATAATGATTTTTTTTTTTGTTAATCCTGACCCAAAAATATTTTTTCCATTGATTTTTAGAGACAGTGGAAGGGAGGGTGGGGGTGGAGAGAAACATCAATGTGAGAGAGACACATTGATTGGTTGTCTCCTGCACATGGGGATCAAACCTGGAACACAGGTAGTGCAAGCCAGGTATGTGCCCTTGACCAGGAATTGAACACTCAACCCTTCGGTGGGTGGGCTGATGCTCTAACCACTGAGTAACACCAGCCAGGGCTACTACATAATGATTTGAGAAAAGTATATATTGAGAAATTATCAACACAATAAATCTAGTTAACATACATCACCACACAGACCTATAATTTTTTTTCTGTGATGAGACCTTTTAAGATCTACTCTCTTAGCAACTTTCAAATATACAACACGGTATTATTAATTATAGTCTTCATGCTATTCATTACATCCCCAGGCCTTTTTTTTTTTTTTTCATCCTCACCTGAGGATATTTTTCCATCCATCTTTAGATAGAGTGCGAGGGAGAAAGAGAGAGAGAGAAACATCGACATGAGAGACATCGATTTGTTACCTCCTGCATGACCCTGACCAGGGTCAGGGATGAACCGCAACTGAGGGCATGGGGTACATGCCCTTGGCCAGAATCAAACCTGAGAGTCTTTGGTCCCCAGGCCAATGGTCTTACTGCTGAGCCAAACCAACCAGAGCCCCAGGACTTTCTTATACCTGTAAGTTTGTACCTTTTGGTACATTTCACCTACCTTCACCAAAATGATAAATTTTATGTTATGTATATTTCATCACAATGAAAAAAAACACAAAACTGCCTGGCCAGTGTGGCTCAATGGTTGAGCATCGACTCGTGTCCCAAGAGGTCACTGGTTCAATTCCTGGTCAGGGCATATGCCCAGGCTGTGGGCCTGATCCCCAGTGTGGGGCATGCAAGAGGCGGCCAATTAATGTTCTTTCTCATCTATGTTTCTATCTCTCTCTCCCTCTCCCTTTCTCTCTTTAATATCAATAAAGAAAAAAAGAAAAAACTCAGAAGCCCCACAATAGACCTCATCTCACCTTTCATAGGCCAGAATTCTGCCACCTACCCATTTCTAAACCAATGATAATAGCAACAATAATGAAATCAACATGATAGGCTTAGTCTAATTAAGGTTCACTCCCCTGCGCCCTGGCCGGTTTGGCTCAGCGATTCCAGAAAGACCGGGGTTGGGTTCTCACTAAGGGCACATACCTTGGTTGCAGTTTGTCCCCGGCCCTGGTTGGGTTGTGTGAGTGGCAGCCACTCGATGTGTCCCTTTCACATCAATGTTTCTCTCTCCCTCTCTCTCTCTTCCTCTCTCTCCCTCTCACTCTATCTGAACAAAAAATGGGAAAATGTCCTTGGGTGAGGATTTAATAAAAAGGGTTTATTCCCCTGTGACTGAGGACAGGTCCAACCTCCCCTGAAGCACATAGCTTCCTAATACTTGAACAAAATTTGGGTTCTGTTAATGATATCAAAGTAGATGGGGAAGGGGGGGAGTGGCAACGGCTACTTGGTAGGACACAAGAACCTAGCAAGGTTTTTCCACTGAGATAAGGAAGGACTTGATTCCCTTAGGATACTCAAAGTTTTCTATAGATTCATGTGAGGCTTATGGACGCCAACCCCCAGGAGTCCATGGGAGGGTAGTTGGTGGTGGTTAGAATGTCTCTCATATCTGTCCTTTGTCTTTCCACTCATTGTAATCTAACCCCTCATCACCTCACATCTGACTATATAGCAGTCTTCTGAGGGGCTTGTCTGCCTCTGGTTTTACTCCCACTTAGATCTATCCTAAACACCACTGATAGATTAACTTTACAGAACCAACATCTCACATATGTTCAAACCTCCCACCAGGCTATCCAGAAACATCTACTCTTTTGTAATCCTTGTTTTCTGTTTCCTTACTAGTTATGCTCCTTAGGACAAGGATTTTGCCTTACTCATTGCATTCTCAATATTTGGAATAGTGCTGATCATTCATAGGTTTTATCCATTCAATTGGTATTTATGTTGTTCAGTAAATATTGAATAAGTGAATAAATTATACAATAAATAAATAAATCCATGACTGGTTCTTATCAGTTTAGATGTTGTTTTTCTTTTTCTCACATGAATCTTTTTTTTTTTTAAGTCATGGGATTTTTAAAATATGTTTTTATTGATTTTAGGGAGAGGAACAGAGAGATAGAAACATCAATGTGAGAGAGAAACATCAGTCTCTGCCTCCTGCACAACCCCTACTTGGAACAGAGCCCCAAAACTAGCAATGTGCCTTGCCTGGGAATCAAACTGGCACCCCCCTGGTGCATGGGAGGACCCTCAATCAACTGAGCCACATTGGCCAAGTTTACGTGAATCTTATGCTTTAACATACCCACACATTTTCCTCTAACCACATTATGTACCTTGCCACCTGTATAATTTTGCTCATACAATTATTCCAGTTTGTAACACCTTTCTTTCTGATAACTAAAGACCCACACTTCCTTTAAGGCAAAGTTCAAATTCTACCTTCAATCTGAGTGTTTCCCAATTACCCAAGGCTTCAGTGACCTACTCTCATCTTCTATTATTTTTATGGTCTATACCTATTAAGCACACAACAGTTTATACACATTTTCTTTTTAATGTGTGTTTTTAAAAATTTAGTTGAGAGAGAGAGAGAGACAGAAACATCGATGTGAGAGAGAAACTTTGGCTACTTCCTGCATGCATCCCAACTAGGGATCCAACTTGAAACTTGGGTATGTGCCCTGACCAGGAATCAAGTGTTGACCTTTTGGTGCATGGGAGGATGCTCAACCAACTGAGACACACTGGCCAGGGTCACATTTTCTTTTTAAGTAATGTCCTATCTCCTCAGTTAGAACTTGAATCCCTTAAATTCAGGAATCCTGTTTTATGTCTGTTTTTATTTCCAATACCTAATCTAATACTAGAAGCTCTCAATAAATATTTATTTGTTTCTAATGATGGTTAGATTTTTAGCATTGATCTAATACATCATAAAAGGTCTGGGGCTTTCTTTAAACCTAATTTAGATGATAGTTAAATAATTAAGTTGATCAAATTCTAGAGTAATATTTCCATTAAATTTAATCCTAGTATATGTCTACATTTGTATATCTGTATATACATTTACCAAAATATGCTTAGCACCACAATTACATCTGGTTGTTGTGCTATGTTGATGTACTACAGCTAATTTTTCAAAGGCAAACATTATAGTGCGTTCCAGGACACCTGTGTTCACACAATCATTTCTTTGAAACTATATTTGGATGTACAAGCTATTAAAAGCTTCTTGTACTGAGTGACCTTTCAGGCAGATTTAGATCGAGTACTCATGCCGGTGCTGCTGTTGCTGAGTAGAAGACAGCAGAAAACCCTGGATTCAAACCTCTATTGGGTTTTTGTTTTTGTTTTGTTTTCATTCATTTTTGCCTTCAGAAGATGAGCAATGAAACAACAACCCTGGTATCCTTGAAGGAGGCGATGAAAAGGTTGCCAAGGGGTACAGGGAGGGAGCAAGCATAGGTCTTCTTTTCTGGGAAGATGGGTTAGAGAAGTAGGAGGAATAAAAATAGGCAAAGAACTACAGACATGCTAATTAGACTTCTATCTCTGTTAAAGTGGTTTAAGTCTTCCAGGTTAAAAAAATATGTAAGTTAATAAATACTAAAGAAAAATTTGCTCCCAGGTCCAATAATTCCATTCAATTAATGCATATGCCATATGGTAGGTATTAAAAAAAAATAAGTAAAATATGGTTTTTGCCCTGAAGGAAATCACAGCCTATAGGAATAACAAAAGTATTAAAAATACTTTAAATTTAATGTGATTGACTATATAATGGTCATGTTCCTAAAGGGCTATGAGAACATGAAGAGAGAATCAATTAATTTTGCCTTTGATACCAGGAAAAAGAACTCCTCATAGAGGGACTTTTAAGCTGGATCTTAAGGTATGAGTAGAAGTATTATAAGAAAAATATGAAAAGGAACTCTAAGCTGGGAAAATAGTACATGTAAGCCATAGAAGCTTTAAATCAGTCAGCAGCTAGATGGCTCAAGTAATTGGTGACTAGGCTGTGAGAGGAGTTACAGAAGATGGGAGCATAAGGTAAAGGACGTTATGTTTTCTGCTGAGGAGATACAACTTGGCTCTAATGATATCATTGGGCAAATCAGGGTAGCATAAAAGGTATATAATCAGTTGAAGGACATGATTAGGAGCATATTTCTCAAGGATGGATTGGAGGTTGCAGAAATTGAAAGCAGAGATCCAGGTAGGCTACTGTAATCCTAGGTTCAGGTGAAAGATTGTGATTAACTGGTTTAGTGGAGATGGAGAGAAGGGGATAAATTAGAGACCTTAATGGGGAGGGGGGAAAAGTAAGAGTTATTCTGAGATTTCTAGTTGAAGCAATTGAATAGATGGTGATGTGATTAACTGAGCTGGGGAATTGAAAGAGAAAACAGACTCAGATTTGCAGACATGTTCTTTAGGATTTATTTGGAATGGTCTGGAAATTGCTTTTGGTGAGAGGATTCCAAAGAACTGAAGTTATAAACTTTTATACTGATTAACAAGCAAGAGCTCCTCTCTACAGTTCAAGCTAGAGATAACCTATGATCTAAGTTAATACAAACAGTGTGTCAGATAACATGGTTTTGATATATAGACAGATATTGCCAGCATATTAGGTCATGCAGGCTTACACTACTACAAAATGCACATTTTATACTGAGCATTACCTATAAGTAAATAGAATCCAAAATAGTAAGAACATCCCACCATAGTAATTTTGGAAGATGGGGGTCAGGGATAGTTAGTAGGTTCAGTTTAGGACAGTTCAGTTTAGCATCCCGTTCAGTTGAAGATACAGGTCCAGAGCTTAGGAGAGAGGTGGTACTTAAAGCTGAATTAGGCTGGGGAGAAAGGTCAAGGTCAGAACCTGGGCAACCACAACAGTATTCAGGTCACTGGGAACACAGAAGCTCAGGGAAGTGGTATGTGTGTTTGTGTATCACTTCCTTCGTGAAAGACAATGTTGGTGGCTTCAAGCAAGTAAACTGTTTTCTTTGTGGTTCAGTTAGACATAGTTAGGGCTGTTCAGAGCTACTCAAATCCCCTTGTTGAGTTACATAGCTCAGCATCTCATTCACATTGCAGATTTCAATCATACAAGACATATTTTATTACATCTTTGTAAGCTTCTGCTGGGTGTTGGCGGACAGGTGTAAAGATGTCCAAGAAACCCTGGTGGGTTAGCCCAGTTGGTTAGAGCGTTGTCCCAATATGCCAAGGTTGTGGATTTGATCCTGGGTCAGAGCACATACAAGAATCAACCAATGAATGTGTAAATAAATGGAACAACAAATCAATGTGGGTTTTTTTTATCTCTCTCTCTCAAATGAATTTAAAAAAATGTCCAAGAAATAGTCTCTGAACCCCTCCCTCCAAGAGCTTACAATTGTGTTTGTGAAAAGCTAATTCTTTAAAAAAATTTTTTTTAATGTTTTTATTGATTTTTGTTGTTGTTGCTGTTGTTGTTGTTCAGATAGAGTGGGAGGCGGAGAAAGAGAGAGAGAGAAACATCAACATGAAAGGGACACATCTAGTGGCTGCCTCCCGCACGCACGACCCTACCAGGGCCGGGGACAAACTGCAACCGAGGCACGTGCTCTTCGCGGGAACCGAACCCCGGGCCTCTCTGGACCACAGGCCGACGCCCTAACCGTTGAACCAAACAGGCCAGGGTGATTTTTTTTAATCCTCACCCAAGGACATTTTTTCATTTTTGTTCAGATAGAGCAGGAAGGAGAGAGAGGAAGAGAGAGAGAGAGAAACATCGATGTGAAAGGTACACATCGAGTGGCTGCCACCTGCATGACCCACCCAGGGCCGGGGACAAACTGTAACCGAGGTACATGCCCTTAGCGGGAACTGAACCCGGGTCTCTCTGGACCGCAGGCCGACGCTCTAACCGCTGAGCCAAACCGGCCAGGGCTGCTTTTTCTTGAGAGAGAGAGAGAGAGAGAGAGAGAGAGAGAGAGAGAGAGAGAGAGAGAGAGAGGAAGGAAGAGGGATAGAAACATCCATGTGAGAGATACACTCTTAGGATCAAGCCCACAACCCAGGCATGTGCCCTGACTGGGAATCAAACCGGCGACCTCTTGGTGCATGGGTCGATGCTCAACCGCTGAGCCACACCAGCCAGGCTGATACTCAATTTCTTTATCTGTAAAAATGGCTGCCTCACTTCTTATGGTGGTTGTGAGACTCAAAGTAATGCTTGTATAAAATAATTTTTAAAGTATAAAGTACAATACAAAGATAAAACATGGGAGATAAATTCAAGTAGACAAAAGTTTGGCAACATAAGGAATGCAAAAACTAGGATGATGGATAGAGAGAATGGCGAACAGCTACCGAACTTTTGTAGTAATTGTAAATAATATATTATAGTCTCATCTTAGGCAACACCTTAATTTTGTTCCCTGACCCTTGATTCTTTTATCCAATAGGGTAGACCACAAACTCCAAGCTTTAGAAGCAGAGTTTAAAAAACTGGATTTCACCAAGGATAATCTGATACAGAAATTTGAACATCATAGCAGGATGTTGGCAAGCCAGGAAGCCCAAGATGAGCTGTGGACAGCAGTTCTGGCACTCAAGTGAGTATCAATGAAAACTCAATGGAATTTTGTGGCATTGTGAGACCTTGCAATGGTCATTCTAAAATTGAATTATTAAAATATTGTTTCAGCAATAGATTGTGAATAAATTACATATTCTTAGGTTTCACTCATGTATAAAAGATTTCCCTGGCCGGTCGCTCAGTGATTAGAGCCTGTGGACCAAAGGGTCTTGGGTTCCATTTCCAGTCAAGGGCACATACCTGTGTTACAGGTTCTATCCTGGGGTTGTGTGGAAGGTAACCAATCAATGTGTCTTTCTCACATTGATGTTTCTCTCTCTCCCTCTCTCCTTTCCATGCTGCCTAAAAATCAATGGAAAAATCCTCAGATGAGGATTAACAGCAACAACAAAAAGATTAATTTGAGTACCTGTTTATAGACCAGGCATTGCGGTATCCATCTCATCACAGTCTCTTGCTTGCCAAAGTCTTACTAACACAGAGATGGAGAATATAACTCCTCTGCCATTGAGAAACTTATAATATGGGTGGCCAGAGAAATAAGGTATCCAGTTTAGCAGACGTCTTATTTCTAAAGTATTTCCTAAGATACAACAGCTTGTTCTCCTAGTGTGTTTGTACTTTTTTGAGCTATCTTGATAGAATTCATTTGATATTTGAACATAAAGTGCTCTACTGCTTTAGAAGCTCTACCCTTTTTTGTAGGTTCACTTCTATGGAATTAAATATTATATACAGCTATGTCATTGAAGTACTCATCTGCTTGCACACTCATGTGCTTGAGAAGCTGCCAGAGCTGGTGAGAGGTCTTCCCACCTTAGCCTCTGTCCTCAGAAAAAAAGTCAAGAACAAGCACATCAGAGTTGTGTGGGAATCTGTCCTGGAGGAGTGTGGGCTCCAAGAAGCAGATGTTTTAGTGCTTTGTACCTTCTTTATCGCACATGGTAACAAGGCAGAACACTACAGTGCCAAAGTGAGACAGATGTATATCAGGGATGTCCCTTTCATGATCACCAACATGGTAAAGAACCAGGCTCTGCAGAATGGTTTGCTGAGGGCTGTTCAGCTCATTGAGAAGGGGAAAGCAGTGACGGCTCCTGAAGAGCAAAAGTCATCTCTGAAAGAGTTGATACCAACAGTCAAAAACTAACCTATTACCTTATGACTTAACAATTCCACTTCCAGTAATTTTCTTGCAAATGGAAAAAAATGTACATACAGTTTTGTTATGGACTTATTTTTACAACAAAAGTTGGGAGAGTGTTGAAGAAATTATAAATTGATACAATGGATATTTCTGTGTAGCCATATAAAAGAACAAAAAAGTTGTTTGTGTCATTGTAGAAATGATATGGCGTTATCACCAGATGTGATGTTTAAAAATATTTATTTCCAATACGTATTGTTAAGTGGAAAAAGGGACAAACACAAATACATATATACATATGTATAAGTTGATATATCCATAAACTTTATAAACTTCTTCTGGAGAGATACATAAGAACATGACAACATTGGGAAGAAAACTAAAAGGCTAGGGGGTCAAAGGTAGGAGGAATTCTTTTTACTGTTAATCCATATGTACATTTTAAATTTTGAACCATGTGAATGTAATCTCTATTAAAAGACAAAACAATAAAAAATACCTAATATATAGTGTATGTTGATGTACATTTTCTCTCTCAAACAGTACCACAGCTATTTATACTAAAAAGGGAACTCACACACATTGACCATATGATATTTATTGAATACCAAATGCCATGTGCTAGGTGCTGCAACAGAAACATTTGAAAATGTGGATCCTGCCTGGCTGGTGTGACTCAGTGGTTGAGTGTTGACCCATGCACCAAGAGGTCTCAGGTTTGAATCCCGGTCAGGGCACATGCCCATGTTGTGGTCCAAATCCCCTGTGGGGGGCATGCAGGAGGCGGCCAATCAATGTTCTCTCTCATTGATGCTTCTCTCTCTCTCTCCCTCTCCCTTCCTTTCTCTCTATAAAATCAATAAAGAAAAAAAATTTTTTAAATGTGGATTCTGTCCTCCAGGTAAAGGTTAAATGCTAATGCTTTATTTGGGAGGTGCAAATTCAGGACAACATCAATGAGGTAACACTCTGGAAGGATGTTAGGTAAAGAAGGATAAGAAGTAACACAAGATGCCCTGGCTGGTTTGGCTCAGCAGTTAGAGTGGTGGCCTGTGGACTGAAGGGTCTCAGGCACATACCTGGGTTGCAGTTCCAATCCCCTGCCCCGAAGGGTTGTGCGGGAGGCAATGCATCAATGTGAGACACATCAATGTTTCTCTCTCTCTCCCCCACCTCCTTCTCCCCTTGCATCCTGTCTAAAAATCAATGGAAAAATATCCTTGGGTGAGGATTAACAACAACAACAACAAAAAAGAAGTAACACAAAGTGATATGTTACCTTGCTGACCCCTCTTTGAAAATGAGCCACAAGAGACATAGCAGGTTGCTTGGCAGATATAGCCACTCAATCTGGTCCTTCCCCAGACACACTGAAGAAACCATACCCTGAAAAAAAAAATGACACTTCTATGTTGTGCTTGCTCAGTCCACTGTTTTAAATTGGCCAAAGTTTGCCCAGCCAGTGTGGCTCAGTGGTTGAGCATTGACCCATGTACCAAGAGGTTGCTGGTTCAATTCCTGGCCAGGGCACATGCCCAGGTTGTGGGCCCAATCCCCAGTGGGGGGCATGCAGGAGGCAGCCAATCGCTGTTCTCTCATTGATGTTTCTCTCTCTCTCTCCCTCTCTTTCTAAAACCAATAAAGATAAATAAATAAATTTAAAAAATAATAAAATTAATTGACCAAAGTTTGCTCCATGGCAAATGACACCCCATACTTCCAGGATGCATCATCTAAGTCCTCCCAGCAACCACTGGAAAGTTAGATCCTTATTGTTCAGTGCAGTGTTTCACAGGAGTCCAAAAGTGGCAGAAGGAGACAGAGATCTCAGGAATGCAATTGGTCAGCCCCAGGCAGACCAAGGGACAAGGGCAAGGAAATCTGAGGACGCATATAAAACATATCCATTACAGAAGATTTCTAAAAGTAGAAATCAAAATGCAAGAATTTAAAAAATTGCTCAGCCTGTGTGGCTCAGTGGATTGAGCTTCATCCCATGGGCTGAGAGGTCCTGGTTGGATTCCTAGTCAGGGCACTTGCTGGGGTTGCAGGCTCCCTCCTCAGTAGGGGGAGTACAGGCAGCCAATTGATGTATGTATGTCTCTCACATTGATGTTTCTATGTCTCTCTCTCTCTCTAAAACTTAATAAAAACACATTTTAAAAAATTGATTTTTTTTATCCTCACCCGAGGACATTTTTTGTTCAGATAGAGTGAGAGGGAGAGAGAGACAGAAACATCGAGGTGAAAGGGACACATCGAGTGGCTGCTACCCGCACGACCCATCCAGGACCCGGGACACCGCAACCGAGGTACGCCCCTAGCGGGAACCAAACCCAGGTCTCTCTGGACCACAGGCTGACGCTCTAACCGCTGAGCAAAACCGGCCAGGGCAAAAAATTGATTTTTAGAGAGAGAGAAGGGAGAGAGAGAAACATCAATCTGTTGTTTCACCTAGTTAGGCATTCATCAGTTGATTCTGATTCTGTATGTGCCCTGACTTGGGATCAAACCTGCAATCTTGGTGTATTGGGCAGACACTCTAACTAATTGAGCTATTCAGCCGGGGCTCAAAATGCAATAATTAAATAAAACTATTATAAAAAACCACTATCATGCCCTGGCCAGTTTGGGTCAGCGATGAGTGACAGACCCCACAGACTTAAGGGTCTTGGGTTCCCAAGCTTTTAAGGGAAGGCAATCCTAAAACAACCTATCTTTGAGTGGCAGACTTAAGAAGCGTCTGAGCCATGAAGGGAAGGGTAAATACCTCTATAAATTGTACAAGTTTGCAGATTTTCTGATCACAACCTTTTCTCGATCAACCTCAAAGACGCTTGCTTTCCTAATAACTTTGAATAGCAATCTAAGAGGCTTAGTTGCAAATTAACAGAAACACAAAGGTACTTTGAGTAAGGGGGAAAGAATTTTTAAAATCTGCTTGGAAGTTTCCCTTTTCTGACCACAGACGACAATTCCAGGTTGCCACAGCCTCCGGGAGCAGAAACATTCAGCGGAAACGGGGACTCCACTACAGCTAATGCAGGAGGGGTTGCGACACTGGAGCAAGGCTTTCTCCCGGGGGCGGAGCAGCAATGGGCGCGCTCACACCCCGGAAGTCCCGCCTAGCAGAGCGTCCTTCGTTTCTTCCATTGGGCGGCTCTCTGGAAGGGCGGGGCCCTTTCGGCGGGCAGTTGTGACGTTACTAGCCCTTCTGGGTCGCTACCGCACCACCGTAAGGATGAAAGTTTTTAGCTGGCCCTAGAGAGGGGCGGGGCGGCCTCAGAACGCCGGAGACCCGGAAAGCGGGAAGCGGGGGTTCGTGGGCTGCCCCCACGGCAACGGTAAAACGGAAGACTTGCTGTAGAGGAGCCAGGAGTCCCGGTGAAAGCAGTGTCCTTCCCCCAACGGTGGCCCGGAGGCTGCGGCCTCGGCAGCCAGGGGAGCATCCTCACCTGGTAAGTAGGAGGAAGGGAACTTGTCGCATAGTTCGCCCGCACCAGAGAGAGGGAGCCCATCGGCTGCCCTGCGGAAACTGTTACATTAATCCCTGGAGCTGCCAAGGTCTCAGGACGGAAAGGTTCATTTAGTTTGTTACCAGACGTTTGTCTTAAACGTGGACAAATAACACCGCCTTCAGGGTAGTACTGTTTACTTGGCACGCAGAGAGCTTTTTGCTTCAAGACGTGTTTGATGCTAACAGTCTCTGAATTCTGATACGCTGCTGGGTATAGTATTTAAACATAAAACTGTTCATTTGTTTTCTCCTTGGTTGAACCGGAAATACTATTTTTTGTCTTCCGTGTGTTGATGTTGAATATTTCTTTTTAGCATATTAAAATGGCTGTACCTAAAAACACCATCCCTTCCCTGTCGGAATGCCAGTGCGGGATCTGCATGGAAATCTTGATGGAGCCGGTAACACTGCCTTGTAATCACACGCTTTGTAATGCATGCTTCCAATCGACTGTGGAAAAGGCGAATTTATGCTGTCCCTTCTGTCGCCGCCGGGTTTCTTCGTGGACCCGGTACCATACCCGAAGAAATTCTCTCATCAATAAGGAACTGTGGGAGATAATTCAAAGACACTATCCAAAGGAATGCAAGCTTAGAGCCTCTGGGCAAGGATCAGAAGAAATCGGTGAGTAAAACCCAGCGTGTTTGTTGGCTAAAAAAACAAAATCCTTTTAAAAATGAATAATTAAAAAAATAATTGCTGATCCATTTTTAAAAAGATAATAAAGATAGTGCAATTAGTATTTATCTAAATTATTTGGGGGTGAGGGTTTAGTTCTGTGGTCCCCAAAGTCAGTGGCACAGTTGCGTTCATTGTTATAATACTCAGGCTGTGTTCAGTTGGTGTTTGTTGGGCTAAGAATGAAAAGGAAAAAAAGAAAGAAAGCTCAAAAGAATTGCCCGTATAGTCTTCATTCTTTTTTTTTTTTTTATCCTCACCTGAGGACATTTTTTCAGTTTTTTTTTTGTTGTTGTTCAGATAGAGTGGGAGGGAGGGAGAGAGGGAGAGAGAGAGAGAGAGAGAGAGAGAGAGAAAGAAACATTGATGTGAAAGGGACACATCGAGTGGTTGCCACCCGCATGACCCAGCCAGGGCGGGGGACAAACTGCAACTGAGGTACGTGCCCTTAGTGGGAAGGGAACCTGGGTCTCTCTGGACCGTGGGCAGACGCTCTTAACCACTGAGCCAAACCGGCTAGGGCTAGAATCTTCATTCTTGATTTGTATCCACTGCACCTGGGTGTGGCACCAGCCCCTCGCCTCCGCCCCTCCTACTAGTCTGGATGTGGCTGCTGCTTTAATTCCGTAGTTGTAGGACTTCCATTCAGCCTGATTTCAGGCAGTTTTGAATGATGGTTGTTCTGTAGTTTAGTTGTAACTTTGATGTGGTTGTGGAAGGACGAGATGCCACATTTACCTACGCCACCATCTTGACCGGAAGTCTTAAGAGTCTTCGTTCTTAAGGAAAGTTGTATATTCAGATGAGCAATTGTGGTAATACAGCAACAGCAGAAATAAGGAAAGTACTGGATTCCTGTGTTAGTATTTCTTTTACTTTCAATTACTTTCTCTAACTTGCTTATATAATTCCATTGTAAGCATACAATGATCCTAAACTAGCTTTCTGCAATCAGTTCCCTCTGGTTAAACCTTTTTTGTTGTTAATCCTCACCCCAGGATATTTTTTAATTGATTTTTTTTCTAGATAGAGTGGAAGGGAGGGAGAGAGAGAGACAGAAAGAAACATTGATGTGAGAGACACATCAACTGATTGCCTCCCACACAACCCAAGACTAGGGCTGGGGCTCGAACCCGAAACCCAGGTACATTCCCTTGACCAGGAATCGAACCTGAGACCCTTCACTGCAGGCCTATGCTCCAGCCGCTGAGCCAAACCTGCTGGGGCTCATGTGTCATTTTGAACATCTGGTTTTTCTTTTAAAATGGAAAGCCATAAAGAAGATACTGCTGTAGCCCTTGCCGGTGTGCTCAGTGGTTAGAGTGTTGCTCAGTGTAGCCCTTGCTGGTGTTGTACACCAATGGGGTGTTGATTTGATTCCTGGTCAAGGGCACATACCTGGGTTGCAGGTTCCATCCCTGGCCTGGTAGGGGCTAATTCGGGAGGCAACTAATCCATGTATCTGTCTCACATCCACGTTTTTCTCTTTCTCTCTCTCTTTCTCCCACCCCTCCCCTCTCTTCCATTCTTTCTAAAAATCAATGGAAAAATATCCTCAGGTAAGGATTAACAACAACAAAAAATTTCTGTAACTTAATAACTGTATATTTTAGCCCTGGCCAGTTTCGCTCAGTGGTTGGAGCATCAGCCTGAACACTAAAGGGGTGTGGGTTTGATTCCCAGTCAAGGGGCATATACCTGGGTTGCAGGTTTGATCCCCAGCCCCAGTCAGTATCTTGCAGGAGGCAACCAGTCTACATGTCTTTTTCACATGGATGTTTCTCTCTCCCCCTCCCTCCCTTTTACTTTATCTAAAAAGCAATGGAACATTATCCTTGGGTGAGGATAATCAACAAAAAAGTAATTGTACATTTTATTTTAATTCTGTGTTTTTATCTTAATATAGTTTTAATGGAAGACAAAGCCAGCCATAAAATTCTGTTGCCTCTCATATTATTTTCTTTCTTAACCTGAAACAGTTGATGACTATCGGCCAGTTCGTTTGTTAAGTAAACCCGGGGAATTGAGAAGAGAATATGAAGAGGAGATAAGCAAGGTAGGAACTAAATAGTTATTTCTTTTTGGAAGAATTCTCTGCTGTGTTTCAGTTTCACATTTTGCATATAGTTTTATGTGCTTATATAAATAATATATATTGAAATGTAATTTTTTTTTTTTTTTTAAGAGAGAGAGGGAGAGAGAGAAACATCAATGAGAGAGAACATCGATTGGCCACCTCCTGCATACTCTCCACTGGGGATCTGGCCCACAACCCGGGCATGTGTCCTGACCAGGAATCGAACCAGCGACCTCTTGGTGCATGGGTCACTGCTCAACCACTGAGCCATACCAGCTGGACTAGGAGTTTTTATGTTCAGACCATCACAGTTCTCTGAGTTTGTAAGGCTCACCATGCAGGCCTCTCCTGAGCTTGTCAGGTTTAGTTAATATGTGGCCCCTTTTTCATTCACCTGGCCATGTACCTGTTGTGGCGCGAGTGACCACCAGAGCCAGATTAAAGCCAAATATAGAGCAAAGCAGGCTGGCGACTGATCCCGAGTTCTCAGAGATCAGCCCTGGGGCCTCCAAATGTTGTGGCGTGACAGAGTCAAAGAAAGACCACTAGTGAATTGAAGTCCAAATAAGAGCCATTTATTAGCCGGCCAGCATCTGATTCCGAACACCCCTGTGACAGAGTCTTCAGAATCAGCTGAAATGTAAATAGTTTTAATGTACTTTATAAAGGCTCCATTTTTTACATGTGTCACAGTAGTTACAAACTAGCTTTAATTTATTTATACATAATTGCTGCTCTTATGTGATAGCTAGTGCTAAGCATTTTCATTTTCCCAAAGTTTTAAGCTTAAAACATGGAAATATTATTAGATTATGGGTATTTTAGTCCATTAAGAGTGCTACCACAAAAATGCCACAGTCTAGCAGGCTTGAACAACAAATATTTCTCACAGTTCTGGAGACTGGGAAGTCTAAGATCCAAGGTATTGGCAGATCTGGTGAGGGGGCAGGGAGAGAGGAGAAGAGGGAAAAAGGAGAGAGGGAAGAGAGAGAATACAGAAGAAAGAGAAACAGAGATCATCTCTCTTGTGTCTCATCATACCAGGGCACTAATCCCATTATCCAGTTCACAGGCCATGGCCCATTTACTTCCCAACCGCCCCACCTCCAATACATTGCATTTGGGATTAGAGCTTCAACATATGAATTTTGAGACGCACAACAAGGAGTTTAGATGAAGCGAGTATACAATAGGGCTCATTGTGAATTACCTAAATAGGAAAAGAGGGAGTATGCTTACAGTGAAGCCTTTGAACTTCACTAGTACTAGGAGAACCCTGTTATCCCCCTACCCTCCTGCTTAGTGTAGAGCACTATTGTCCAATAAAAGACAGTGTGAGCCTACATGCAATTAAAGTTTTTTTGTAGCCACATTTAAAAGATGTTTTTTCTAAACAACAGATGAAATTAACTTTAATTGTATTTAAACCCATTATATTTTATTATCAGTATAAAGGTATTATATAAAAATTATAATTAACTATATAATTATATATCACAATATGATTAGGCATTAATTTATAAAGTTACATAAAAATTAATCATGAGATTTTACATTATTTTTGCTTAGTCTTCAGTATCTTTTGTACTTATAGTACATATCACTTTGATCTAGTCACCTTTTCAAGTGCTCAAAATATAGCTAGTGGCTACTCTTTTGGACCATGCAAGTCTAGAAGAACCAATAAATAATAAATAATTATGATAGTTGCCCTGTCCTGTGTAGCTCAGTGGTTAGGGCATCGGCCTGTGAACCGGAGGGTCTCGGTTTTAATTCCTGATCAAGGGCTTGTACTGAGGATGCAAGTTCAACCCCAGGTCCGGTCGGAGTGTGTGCGGGAGGCATCCATCGATGTCTCTGTCTCTCTCCCCATCCCCCTCCACTCTCTCTAAAAACTCAGTGGAAAAAATATCATCTGGTGAGGATAAACAAAAATTATGATAGTTAACTTGATGTCAGCATATTGTCTAAGTGGTGTTCTTAAGTAAGGGTTTTTTGTTTGTTTTTATCTTTCTCGTTCAAGGATATGTTTTTATTGATTTTGAGAGAGAGAGAGAAAACACATTGATGTGAAAGAGAAACTTCTCTGTCGGTTGCCTCCGGTATGCGCCCCAACTGGAGTTTAACCCAAAACCTAGGTATGTGCCCTGACCAGGAATTGAACCCTCAATCTTTTGGTATATGGGTATGACACTCCAGCCAGCTGAGCCACCTGGCCAGGGCTTAAGTAAGGGTTTTAAAGGAATCGTTTAACCCTTATAATAAGGTAGTGAGGCCCTGTCCCAGTGGTTAGAGTGTTGGCCTGCGGACCAGTGAATCGCGGGTTCAATTCAGGTCAAGAGCATGTACCTTGGTTGCGGTTCGTCCCGGCCCTGGTCAGGTCATGTGTGAGGCAACCAGTCGATGTGGTTGTATCACATTGATGTTTCTCTCTCTCTCTCTCTCTCTCCCTCTCCCTTCCACTCTATCTAATAATAAATAGAAAAATATCCTTGGGTGAGGAATTTAAAAAAAAAAAAGGTAGTGAGAACATGTTCTGTTTTGACTGCAAATAAAAGAAAACCCGACTTCAGCTACCTTAAACAATAAGAGAATTGTAATTATTTGGAAGTCCAGAGGTAGGGGCTTCAGGGGTGGTTTCATTCAGAGTTCTAGCTCTAGGTCTTTGCTAACTGTGGTCAGCTGGCTATATATATAAATATACATATATATATATATATTCATAGATTTTTTAGAGAGAGAGGAAGGGAGAGAGAGATAGAAACATCAATGTGAGAGAGACACATTGTTGGGCTGCCCCCTGCAATGCCTCCCACTGGGGATCGAGTCTGAAACCCGGGCATGTGCCCTGACCAGGAATCAAACCAGAACCCCTCAGTCCATGGGACAACGCTCATTCCAGAGCCACACCAGCTGGGCTGGTCAGCTGGCTTTATCTCAGGCTAATAACAAGATGGCCACATTGTTCTGAACCTCCATTTTCTCATGGGATTGGATCAAGGACTTGAGTCATATCCTTTGGAATTCTAAAGTGGTTCTTGTTTGTTTTTTGTTTTGTGTCTCCCCGCCCCCCCCAGGAGAATTACAGTTTGTTTGTTTTTAGGAGAAGTATAGTTTAAATAAACAAGAGCATGGCCTTAGATCTTAGAATCAGAACTTGAGTCTCTGTTCTGCCACTTACTGTTTTCAGAAAGTTATGTTCTTTTCTATGTCTGTTTCTTCATTTGTAAATCATATAATAGCCATGTGGTTATTCAGCAACCACTCCACTCCTGCCCACTGTGTTTGGGGATTCTTCCAGACTACAGGGATGGATCCTATTAGTTCAGTCAGTTTTTATCATTACATTCCTTTTGTTAGGGTTTGGTTCAGGAATCTAGGCCTAAGTTAGTTAGCACATGGCATTCTGTTAAGTGCGGAAAAGGAATACCTGGAAATGTGCACAAGTGTGTGATATTGTAGTTGAAACTGGGATTAAGAATTGAAGCAAGGGAGGATGAGGGTTTGATTGGGCTGATTGGGGAAGGCTTCATGAAGAGAATTTGCCTCTCCAGATTTGTACTTCATTTAAGATATTTTTAATTCCTGCCAATTTTTTCATTTAAAAAAATATTTTACTGTTCTTATTAAAAAGTATTGGAAGTATACTAAAAAGTTCAGAGAAGGATTGTTCTCTATTAATCATTTTTAAGGTGGAGGCAGAGCGACGGGCTAATGAGGAAGAAGAAAACAAAGCCAGTGAAGAATACATACAGAAATTATTGGCAGAGGAAGAAGAAGAAGAAAAGAGACAGGCAGAAAAAAGGAGAAGAGAGATGGAAGAACAGCTAAAAAGTGATGAAGAACTGGCCAGAAAGCTAAGCATTAATATTGTAAGTTTTGGGAGAGAATTTTGAAGTATTAACATTCCTATTTCTTTGTGATTTTTAAAGATTCAAAGACATATTCACCATAGCTACAAGCTATTTCTGGCATATTTTCTCTACTTAAAACTTTTTTTTTGCATATTGTAACATATTAAAAAACTGAGTTTTTGCATATTGTTACATATTTCCTCTACTCCAGGTATACTTTACAAAACTTTTTACTTGTTATTAGTAAATTCAAATTATGTAGGAAAGCTATTCATTGGAAAATGAAAGCTTCCTTATCCCCCTTCCCCGCCCCCACCTCTTTACTCCTATTCTGTTTTCTTAATCTGTTCCTTTCCCCAAAGGTTAGCACTATTAACCATTTCTTATAAAGATTTTTCTTTCACCTAAAAAGGATTTATCGGTCATTGTTTTTTCCTTGACTTTTTTCACTTGATATATCTTTTTTTGTATTACTATATGTAGTCTATCTAAATCTTTTTTTTTTTTCCTCACCCGAGGACATTTTTCCATTTTTTGTACAGATAGAGTGGGAGGGAGAGAGAGGAAGAGAGAGGGAAACATCGATGTGAAAGGGACACATCGAGTGGCTGCCACCTGTACGACCAACCAGGGCCGGGGACAAACTGCAACCGAGGTACATGCCCTTAGCGGGAACCGAACCCGGGTCTCTCCGGACCGCAGGCGGACGCTCTAACCGCTGAGCCAAACCGGCCAGGGCTATCTAAATCTTAAGAGTGGCATAATACTCCATTGTATGATACAGATCATTTTTAGAAAATGAAGCACATTAAATTCTTAATATAGTAAACCTGAATTTTATTATCTTGCTGTAGTTAAATTACTACCTAGGGGAAAATGAATGAAAGAAATGATGATAAAATACTTACTCTAAGACTAAAGAAACAATGGGATCCAGTGATTTGAAAGAACCTGGCATAATCACCCTGGGATTCTTTTAAAATATAAACTCCCATACCTGTTCTGAATCTACTGAATCAGAATCTCTCAGGATAGGATTTGGGGGTTACCATTCTCAGAGGCAGTTAGGGAAGTCTGATGTGCATTCAGGTTCGAGAGCCTCTAAAACAATTCCTCTGCTTTCAAACAAATATGTTAAAGTGCTCTTACTAAAATGAAGTATACTCAGAAGTTTTAAATTGTATGCCCTTTTTAAAATTTAAATAGAATAGCTTTGTAAAGGTACATATAGGAAATTAAATAAAAGACATTAACCAACAGAATAACAAATGGGATAAGAAAGAAAATACAGGGGTGAGCAAAGTGGGTTTACATGATACAAATAAATAATACAATAATTAATAAATAATGCAGCTCTAGCCACATAGCTCAGTTGGTTAGATCATCAAAGAATAAACTGTTTTACATGCTCACAACTGTAAACCTACTTTTGCCTACCCTGTATAACAATGAGGAGAATCTTTACTGGTCTTTGAAGAGTCTATTATTCTAGTGCTTACAGCTCTTTTTGAATTTGTCTGGTAGGTCTTCCGGTTTTTACCGGAAGCCCCTCTTCCCCAGAAAAGTCTATTATTCTAATCCTTGTTTCTTATTTTTACATGGGATTATAAGAGTAGATTTATTGATATTTTAGAATAATTTTTGGTTTACTTGTGAAAGTTTATTGGCCCAAAGCCTAATGTCTACCATCACCAGTTATATTCATTTTTCTAATAATGTAGTAAGAAACTTATGAACCCTGATGATACTCAGTTGGTTGAGTATCATCCAGGCACGGAGAGGTTACTGGTTCAATTCCTGGTCAAGGCGCATGCCTGGATTGCAGGCTTGATCCCCAGTAGGGGGGGCATGCAAGAGGCGGCCGATTGATGTTTCTTATCAGTGTTTCTCTCTCTCTCTCTCTCTCTCTCCCCCTCCTTCCCCTACTTTCTCTCTCTAAAATTAAAATCTTAAAAAAAAGAAAAGAAATTTATGAGACTACTGCAGGTAAATACTCATGGCGTTTATTTTTATGCCCATAAGTCCCCAAATTAAATTAAATTACTTTTATGTAAAACTATTATTCCAGATATATCTATAGTTCTTTGAATTTACCTCTATAGATTAAGGTAGTTATATAAAACTATTCATTAGAAAAATTAACAAATTATCAGCTTATAAGATTAATATCACCATGCCGATTGTGTTCTGTCATGTAGAGTAAAAATGCAATTAATTTAGACCAACTTAGATGGACTTAATCTTGTTTATACTAATTTTTACATAATCGATATTATTCAAAGGGTGTGTAGAATTTAAACGTGAACAAAATTCTGTAAAGGTCTGTTGTAGCTTCTGAGTTAGTTGAATTAATAGCTTATTTTATAATAAAAGTATTTTAATAATGTCTTTTATGCTTTTTCTGTTGTTAAAGAACAATTTTTGTGAGGGAAAACTCTCGGCTTCTCCCATGAATTCCAGAAAATCTGATCTAGTCACAAGCAAGTTGCAAAAGAAAAGTAAAAACAAACAAACAAATACTGAAGATATTCAGAAGTAAGTGAGCTGTTTATCAATTCTTTATTAACCACCTACTGTATGCCAGTGTTTTTCGTTCATAGAGTGCACTGACTATCAAAATTTGTTCCATGCACTTCGTGAAAACCCTCCAGATGACTGAGATTGATGTAAGAGAGCTACTCACATAGCTTAGATTCCTGGCTAGCATGAAGAGAGATGTGAAGTCTTTTTGTATCTTGACTGCTCAGAGTTTCCATGATATTCCCATTTTCTCAAAATTAACCAGTTGGGTTATTTTTTCCCCTTGGTTTAGATTCAAGTGAGAAAAGCTGGTCCCATACAAGGTCATCCTCATCGAAAGATGAGGGCATCCAGGTCATTTACCCAGTTTTTCCAAATTCCTGTATTACATTTCTTCTCTACTATACAAAAACCATGAGTCAGGTAATCACCAGTGGAGTAATGATTTAGTTCCCCCACAACACCCTTCCAGTAGCAGGTAGAATTGATGACTTTATGAGGATATAAGCTTTCCCATCATATTTCATATTTAGAAAAGTTTAAGAACTGCAGTCTAGACTTCAAAAACAGATAAGGGCGCTGGCCAGTTTGGCTTAGCGGTTAGAGCATCGGCCTGCGGACCAGAGTCCTGGGTTTCATTCCAGCCATGGGCACGTACCTCAGTTGTGGTTCATCCCCGGCCCGGTTGGGGTCATCTGGGTGGCAACCATTCGATGTGTCTCACATCAGTGTTTCTCTCTCTCCCCCTCCCACTCTGTCTGAACATAAATGTAAAAATACCCTCGGGTGAGGATTTAAAAAAAAAGACAAGGGCATGCCAGGTGTGGCTCAGTGGTTGAGTATTGACCCCTGCACCCAAAACAGACAAGGGCTTTTGGTTCAACTGAGTAAATATGTGCAGGTAATTTGCCTCCTTGCAGAATTCTTAGAAATTTTGGGTTTGGGATGGGGACACTTAGATTTCGGTAGGGGCAAATGAAGTGGTTGCTAGTAAAAGAAAAAATAACCCAAAAGGAATACAAACAATCCAATTTAAAAATTGGCAGGGGACCTGAATAGACACTTCTTCAAAGAGGAAAGAGGACATACAAATGGCCAACAGACATAAGAAAAAGTGTTCAACATCACTAATCATCAGTGAGATGCAAATTAAAATGACGATGAGGTACGCCTTACACCTGCCAGAGTGGCTGCTGTCAAAATCAACAAATAACAAGTGCTGGTGAGAATGTGGAGAAAGGGGAACCCTACTGCACTGCTGGTGGGCATGCAGACTAGTGTAGCCATTGTGGAAAATAGTGTAGATTTTCCTCAAAAAATTAAAAATGGAACTGTCGTTTGACCCAGTGATCCTACTTCCAGGAATATATCCTACGAATCTGAAACATCAATCAGAAAGAATGTGTGTACCCCTGTGTTCAAAGCAGTGTTATTTACAATAACTAAGATCTGGAAACAGCCCAAATGCCCAGCAGTAGATAAATGGATACAAAAGCTGTGGTCCATTTATACAATAGAATAATACACAGCTATAAAAATGAAGGATCTATTATCCTTTGAAACAGCATGGAGGAACGTGGAGATTATTATGCTAAGTGAAATAAGCCAGACAGAAAAAGACAAATATCACATGATCTCACTTATATATGGAATCTAATGAACACAGTAAACTGATAAAATAGAATCAGAGGCATGGAAACATGGAACAGACTGATGAATCTCAGAGGGAAAGGTTGGGAGAGAGATTAACCAAAGAACTTATATGCATATATGCATTGCCCATGGATGCAGACAATAGAGTGATGAAGGCCCAGGGCAGGTGGAAAAAGAGAACTGTAATACTCTCAACATAAAGAAAAAAATAGATGTGATATTAATATTGTTAGTGCTGGTATTATGCAAAGTAGAAATTAAGAGAAAAACCATTAAAAGGTGAAAAGCAGAGATTGCATAATTACATACTCCGCTTAAAGCATGTAATTTATGAATCTTCATGCATCTAAATATATATTTTGAAATATACAAAAATAAAAAATTATTAGAAATACAATGGATCTAATAAACTGATAAATTTTAATAAACTTGTGAATGTAAAAGCAGAAATTGAGAAACTAGTGTATTAAAATTAAAAATAGATAAAGTCTAGTCTCTAGACTATATAAAGAATTCTTATATAACTCAACAACAAAAGACAAAAAGTGGACAAAGGTCTTGAAGAGGTTATTTCTCCAAAGATGTACACATGGCCAGTAAGCATGTAAAAAGATACTCAACATCATTAGTCATTAGGAAAATGTAAAAATCACAATGAGATACCACTTCACACCCACTGGGATGTCTGTTATCCTAAAAAGGGAAAATAACAAATGTTGGCAAAGATATAGAAAAATTGGAATTTTGTACATTGCTGGTGGGCATGTAAAACGGTGTAGCCACTATGGAAAACAGTTTGGCAGCTCCTTAGAAAGTTTAACAGACTTACCATATGACTCAGCATTCACCTCCTAGATATTTACCCAAAAGAACTGGAAACAGGTATTTTAACAAATACTTGTACACAAATATTTGTATCAGCACTTCAAATAGCAAAAAGGTGGAAAGAGCCCAAATGTTCATTGAGGGATAAATGGATAAACAAAATGTATATCAGTACAATGGAATATTATTCAGCCCTAAAAAGGAATGGCATATTGATACATGCTGTGATGTGGATGAACTCCAGAAACACATTAAGTGAAAGAAGCCAGACACAGGGTTGCATATTACATGATTTCATTTATATGAAATAGCTAGAATAGGTCAATCTATAAAAAGAGAAAACAAATTTAGTAGTTGCCAGTGGTTGGGGAGAGGTCAGAATGGGGAGTAACTACTTAATGTACACAGGGTCTCCTTTAGGGATGATGAAGATGTTTTGGAACTCAATAGTTATAATGGTTGCACAACTTCAAGATTGTACTAAATGCACTTAAAATAGTTAATTTTATCTCAAATTTAAAATGAACAAAAAAGATGACTATTATTTTTATTTATTTATTTTTTTAATCCTCAACCGAGGACATTTTTCCATTTTTTGTTCAGATAGAGCGGGAGGGAGAGAGAGGAAGAGAGAGAGGGAGAAACATCGATGTGAAGGGACACATCGAGTGGCTGCCACCCGCACGACCAACCAGGGCCGGAGACAAACTGCAACCGAGGTACGTGCCCTTAGCGGGAACCGAACCCGGGTCTCTCTGTACCGCAGGCCGACGCTCCAACCACTGAGCCAAACCGTCCAGGGCTATTATTTTTGAAAATTAAGAAAAACTACTAAGTAACTCATTGGTTAAACAATCTTTTTAAAAAATGTATTTATACTATTAAAAAACAAACAAAAAATAGATGTGGCAAAAAAACAGTTCACCCATTTCTGTCACACATCCCCTACCCTCTACCCCCACTACACTACCGACAACCACAAATCTTTTCTCTGTATTTGTATGAGCTGGATTTCTCTTTTCCCCCCAGATTTTACATATGAGAGAGATCATATGGTGTTTTATTTATCTTTCTCTCTTTGACTTATTTCACTTAGCATAATGCTTTCAAGGTTCATCATCCATGTTATTGCAAATGGCAAGATTTCATTCTTTTTTTTTTTTTTATCCTCACCCGAGGATATTTTTCCATTTTTTGTACAGATAGAGTGGGAGGGAGAGAGAGGAAGGAGAGAGAGAGAGAAACATCGATGTGAAGGGACACATCGAGTGGCTGCCACCCGCACGACCAACCAGGGCCGGGGACAAACTGCAACCGAAGTACGTGCCCTTAGCGGGAACCAAACCCAGGTCTCTCCGGACCGCAGGCCGACGCTCTAACCGCTGAGCCAAACTGGCCAGGGCCATTCTTTTTTTTTTTAAATCCTCACCTGAGGATATTTTTCTATTTATCTTTAAACAGAGTGAGAGGGGGAGAGAGGGAGAGAGAAACATTGACATGAGAGGGACACATCGACTGGTTGCCTCCCACAGGACCTGACCAGGGCCGGGGATGAACCGCAACTGAGGTTTGTGCCCTTTCCTTAAGGTATCAGTACTCAGTTTTTTAAGTTTTGCTCTGGAGTTAGACTAAAATACCTGAGACAAGGGTATAGACTACGCTCTTTCTGATAAACCAACCACAGTCAGACAACCTTTAGCATAAATAGCTAGTGGCTTTATTATCTTGGGTACATACCACTTCTCTTTCAAAGCATTCAAATTTTGGTAAACTCTTTTTAAAGGTATTTGTCACCTAAACCTCAATTTGGGTCAGCATCACAGGCTGAAGTTGTACAAGAAGGCAAGAAAAACTCCATGTCTAAGGTATGTGAATGCTAAAGATGTTCTTCGTTTGGCACGTTTACTAATGTTATATATAGATTGCTGGTACTTATAGGTTCCTAACTTTTGTTCTTAAGTCACTACAGTAAATGAGACACCATCTCTTAGTTATCTTAGGTTTACATAAACTAGGAGTCAGCAAGCAAAATTTTTCTTTAAAGGGCCAGATAGTAAATATTTTAGGCTTTGCGGCCCGTATTGTTTCAGTCACAACAATTCAGTTATGCTATTGTCGTGTGAAAGCATTCATAGACAATATGTAAACAAATGAACTTGTCTTTGTTCCAGTAAAACTGTTTACAAAAACAGCAGGCTGAATTTGTAATAACCTGTGGGTTTAGTAACTTCCAGGGGTCCTCATAAGAAACACACCTAAAGGAGTTGTGTCTCTTACAGAAGGCCCAAGCTTTGACTTCCTGCTGGATGTTTGTAGATCACTCATAGTTTTCCTAGTACAAATGCAGTTCACCAATAAGGGTCATTTTTACCATAAGCTATGCGGCCTAGTAACACAGATGACATTCCACCTTTATCAGGTTTCCAGGTAAGTAGAAGTAGGAAAGGTAAGCTGACACCAAGGTCTCTTTCCTGCTTATAAAAGGTTTGTTAACACTTTATTCACAGGCTTTTTTCCCTCAGATAGGTGGTTTTATGCACATTTACTGTGCACCAGATTATGTATGTGTTTTCTTCACATCTTCATCACAACCTCCAACTCTATAATATAGGTATCCCTGTGCCATTTTTACAGTTGAGAAACCTGAGGCACACAGAGATAAGAGTTTTGCCCAAAGTTCCTTAAAGTAGAGGTAATAGAGTGAGGATTCAAGTCCAGATGTTCCGATTGGTACTGGAACTATAGATTGATGGAAGAGGCATTGTAGGGCTGGGGTATTTTTTTCTACCCTGCTCATATTTGCAGCAAATCTGGGTAAGCAGCCTAGAATTTGTCCAATCCAAACCACACTGCTATGCAAAAAATGCTGTCAGGAATGATAAATGCAAAGCAAAGAAGGTAAAAGAACAGAATGTCTCCAGCAAGGAGTAGGTTTGGTTCTGAGGCAAATTCTCATTGAAGACTTTCTTCTTAAGGCTTTCCCATGGTCAGAACTAATCCTAGGTCTTGACTTACCCGAGACCTATAGGTGACAAGAAAAATTATATTGGCTAAAGAAGGGGGGTTCTCAACTTAAGGTCTATGGTTAGAATCCAGAGAGTACATATGAATTTCGATGGAAGAAAGTTTATCTTTACTTTTGTCTGACCTCTTCACAGTACCGGTGACTTGCCCTGGCCGGTTTGCTCAGTGGTTAGAGCGTCGGCCCGCGGACCAGAGTCCTGGGTTCGGTTCCCCATAAGAGCACATACCTTGGTTGCAGTTTGTACCTGGCTCTGGTTGGGGCCATGTGGGTGGCAATCAGTCTATGTGTCTTTCTCACATCGATGTTTCTCTCTCTCTCTTCCCCCTCTCTCCCTTCAGCTCTGTCTGAAGATAAATGCAAAAATGTCCTCAGGTGAGGATAAAAACAAAATATAAAAAACAGTGCCTGTGACTTTGTCATCAATAGAAAGGATAGATTTTTATCATTATATTTGTTGCAAATCTCTTGAAATATTATTTATACTCATTCCTGTGTTCAGTATTACAAGTTATATCGATACACATTGCATCATAACTTTCAACATTTTAATAATTAAGTTGCAATATAAAGTGTTTTCTTTCTGCCCTGGCCGGTTTGGCTCAGTGGTTAGAGCATCAGCCTGCAGACTGAAGGGTCTCAGGTTCAATTCATGGTCAAGGGCTCGTGCCTGGTTTTCGGGTTCGAACCAAGAGGTCGAACCTGAAGGTTCGTACCAAGTACCAAGAGGTAACCAGTTCAATTCCCAGTCAGGGCACATGTCCAGGTTGTGGGCCAAATCCCTAGTAGGGAGCATGCAGGGGCAGCCAATTGATATTCTCTCTCATTGATGTTTCTATCTTTCTCTCCCTCACTCCCTCTCTCTCTCAAATCAATTTTTAAAAAAAAATAGTGTTTTCTTTGTGATCCTATGTATTTATATACATTTTTTAAAATGTGTTTTTATTGATTTTTTTAGAGAGAGAGATAGAAACATCGATGTGAGAGAGAAACATCGATCTGCTGCCTCCTGCACTCCCCCTACTGGGGATTGAGCCTGCAACCCGGGCATGTGCCCTGACCGGGACTCAAACTTAGACCTCGCAGTTCATGGAATGATGCTCAATCCACTGAGCCACACCAGCCGGGCTGTATTTATATTTAAAAATATTATTCTTAGAAGAGGTCTGTAAGCTTCACCAAAATGCCAAAAGGAGGAGAGTTTGTGGTACTAAAGAGGGTTTAAAAATCCCTGGGCTACTGGAAGTTTATTTATTTAGTTAGTTAATCCTCACCCCAGCATATTTTTTCTATTGATTTTTTTTTTTTTAGAGATAGGGGAAGGGAGGTATCGAGCGACACATCATTTGGTTGCCTCTGCATGTGCCTTTGAATGGGGCGGGGATCGAACCTGTGACCCTGTGGTGCACAGGCCAACACTCTAACCACTGAACCACACTGGCCAGGGCAGCTATTAGAATTTATAAGGTGAAAAAGAGTTCAGGTCATGATGCCAACTATTGGCTATATAGTAAATCTAGTTTGTGGTTTTAATCTAGGTTTTCATGGGAGTCAAAATGAAGGAATGCCTTAATCTCATTGGCACACAGAACAAAAATACTATTAAAAAGCAATATAGCGTATCAGTAGTGGTAGTAATAACTATAGTGACAATTGTGGTATCAGTGTAAGACATATATGTATGACTTGTTGTATACCACTCACTCAGTCTTCTGTTTTCTACAGGAAACTGATAGTAGTGATATAAAGAGCCCTATGTGTCAAGACAGAGAAATTGAAGAAGATATGCCAACACTTTCTCCACCAATATGCCTTGAAATTGAAGAACAAGGTACAAAGTCTTCAGTAGAGTCACCTATGCCTCAGTTATGTGCCAGTGGTACAGAATGGTGCCTTAAAGAAGTCAAAATGAGACCAAGTGATCATGATAAAGAATTATGTGTTATAAACCATGAGAGACCTGAAGCCAGAGTTCCCTACTCTAGAGAAGCTGCAGTTAAGCCTTGTGGCAAAACAGAGAGTGAGTGCACTATATCAGATATGACACAGATAATTGGAAATAACACAGTTGAGACAGAAAATGAAGAGTCTTGCCTATTGATCAGTGAAGAAGGTATTTTCAAAAGAAAAAACCAGGAGTCTTCATTTGAAGCAGTCAGGGATCCGTGCTTTTCTACAAAAAGAAGGAAAGTGTCCTCTGAATGTTCCTCAGAACAAGAGGAAACAGAGATCAGCTTTACTCAGAAACTGTTAGATTTGGAACATCTACTTTTTGAGAGACATAAACAAGAAGAACAGGACAGGTTATTAGCATTACAGATTCAAAAAGAGGTAGATAAAGAACAAATGAAGCCAAACCGGCAAAAAGGATCCCCAGATGAATATCAGTTACGTGCAACTCCCTCACCTCCAGACAAATTGCTAAATGGACAAAGGAAGAATTCCAAAGATAGGAACTTAAAAAGACATGCTGCTGTAGAGCATTCAAAACCTCGGAGAGGCCCAAAAAATGAAAATTGGCAGCCTTCTTTTGAGATCCAGGTGAAACATTCAGTTAATGTTAATGGAAGAAAGATGCCAAATTCTGCTAGAGATCATTGTAATGTATCTAAAAGTGTTCATTCCCTACAGCCTAGTAAGTCACAGAAAAGTATTTTTCAGATGTTTCAGAGATACACAAAATGTGTGGGTAAAGGAGGGAGTATTTTAGAATCTGGTAAAGATGGATTTTGATGCTCTCTTTTATCATAGAATGTTTATAAAATTTTTATTCTGCTCTGTGGGCATACTCATTGCCTATAATTGAAGGACTGTGCAATTACAAGGGAGGAATATACAAATGTACTTCAGCCAATGTCAGTGATAAGCAAAAGTGTTGTGGGTTTTTTTTAAATTTTCACCCAATGATATTCTTAGAGAGTGTGGAGGGAGGGAGGGAGAGAGGGAAGGGGAGAGAGAGAGAGAAACATTGATGTGAGAGAGACCCATCAATTGGTTGCCTCCCACAGGACCCTGACTGTGGCTAGGGATCAAACTTGCAACCCAGGTAAGAGTGTCGATTCTTTATTAATAACTGTGACAATTCTTATAGATAATAGATATAAAACTGCCTGGACCAACTCAAAAGAAATCTTTAAGTGCCATTCTTTTTCCAAAAAAAATGCATGTTTTATGGCCTTTGCTCCCATTTTTGTTCTGAGTAATCAAAGCAAGATTATACTATACCACGTAGTTTAGGAGTCAGGTTTAAAATGTAAGATATTTGCTACTTTGCCATGTATTTATAGATCACTTGAAATGTATCTTCCATAATACTAATGTAATCTAATCTTTTTAGTATTTTAAGTATTATAGCATTTTCTTTTATTTAAAATGGATTAGAATCACATGAAATCAGAAAAGTCAGAGTTTTCTGGAAAATTAGGATTAATTGACAGAAAGGAAACATCTCAATGCAAAAGGAGTTAAGAGTTGGGGTGAGGCTAAGTAGAGCAAACTGATAATTTGGAAGCATTGGAACTGAGTGGGAGATCAGAAACTGGGTCTAAGATGAAGTAGCAGAGCATTCCCCCACATCCTTTCTTTGCTAAATGGCACAGAAAACACTTGGGTTTTACTGCTTGTCTCACCATAGTAACTGGTGTTAAAATGATTAGTTACGCCCAGCTGGAGTAGCTCGGTGGATTGAGCGTCCCCCCTCATGGACTGAGAGGTCCCAGTTCGATTTCCAGTCAGGGCACATGCCCAGGTTGCAGGCACAATTCCCAGTAGGGGACGTGCAGGAGGCAGCCGATCGATGTTTGTGTCTCAGATCCACGTTTTTATCGTTCTCTCCCTTCCTTTCTCTCAAAAAACAACAACCAACATTAAAATAATAATAATAATAAATTACCAAAAATTTTGGAAATTCACATTTTCTATTAATCTATTCTAGAAAAAGATGGGAATTTACTGTAGGAGAGCAAAATCACAATATACTATGTTGTGTAACCTGAGACATAAATAACCATGTATTTATTTCCTTATCATTTGTATTGGTAGTGATTTTATTTGTGTTTATGGGCAGAAATAGTATGGTGCTTGGCTCTCGCCCTATATTACTCCTCAAAGTTAAATCAGAGGCAGTGATTCTATTTTGTGAAATTTAACTTAGAAACTGTTAATCTTCGTTTAATTAATATGAACAATTTTGAGCAAACAAACAACAGTTTTAACAGCATTTCTGCTGATGTCTAGTTGTTTATTCTTTTAAGCTAAAAATACAATAAAATGTCCTAGAGCCAAGTCTAGCTTCAATTTGTCAATTTTGAGGGTTTTTTTCCTCCAGAGTTTGTAATTGAAATTCTGTTACTCTTTGAGTACTTGATGGCATCTATTTCAATATTCACTGGGTAGGTAATAAGGATAGAATTCTGATGCTGACTTAAAATTTACTTTGCCCTCCCTTAAAAAAATGTGATTGCCTTCTGAGTAATGATTGTATTAAAACAAAGCATATCAGAAACTAACAAAATTTGTCTAAAATAGACTAAAATTTTTCTTATCAAACTGATCGTTTTTTCTTTTTTTAATTTATTTTTATTGTTGACAGTGTCACAGATGTCCTCCATTTTCCCTCCTTTGCCCTCCTCCACCCAGTCCCCCAAATTGATATTTTTCTAAGAGTGATTTCACTTTACATTTTAGGGAAGACATTGGATCTACTCAAATTAAAAGTTACGTAACTAGGCCCGGCTGGTGTGGCTTAGTGGTTGAGCATCGACCCATGCACCAAGAGGTCACTAGTTCAATTCCCAGTCAGGGCACATGCCCAGGTTGTGGGCCTGATCCCCAGTGTGGGGCATGCAGGAGGCGGCCAGTCATTGTTCTATCTCATTGATGTTTCCATCTCTCTCTCCCTCTTCCTTCCTTTCTCTCTAAAATAAATAAAGAAAAAAAATTTTTTTTTAAGTTATGTAACTAAATCTTCCTGGAATAGTTCATGACCAAAAAGGGAAAAAAATACTGTGATGTACTTAGAATTTATATATTTAACCACTCATTTGTCTGTGAAGAAGCCTTCCTGACTAAAATGTTGGTTTTAAGATAATTTTAAATTTCTTTATTAGTCTTTCTGATAGTCCTATGTGTGCCTTTTTGTAAGAAACATATTTTGTGTCCCTCATTAGAATGTGTTGCTACTTTTTCCTCTTGTGGAAGGGATATGAAAGCCTTTATTTCTCAGGGAGTACTAAAACTGTGCTGCGGTTGAGAATCAGAAAATTAAAATATTTTTTTAGAAAGGACTATTATATATATTTTATTAAAACTACCATAAAGAAAAATTGGAAGACATGGCAAACTAGAGAAGAAATAGATGCACTTCATTACAAAGAGCTAATTTTCCTTATATGAAGTGTCTGTCAATACATTAAGAAAAAGACTAATACTCAGAAGGAAAATTAGAAAAGTTTATGTTTGTTCCCAAGGAACATAGTTCCCAGGAAAGGAAATATAAATGTTTCTTAAATATGTGAAAAGGTACATGATATCACTTATACTTTGCTCACATTTTTCCACTCTTCAGATTAGTAGAGCTAAAGTGCTTTTTTTGTTTTTGTTTTTGTGTATGTATGTGTGTTGTTTTTTGTTGTTGTTTTTAATTTTTTTATTGATTTTTAGAGGAAGAGGAAGGGGGAGAGAGAGAGAAACATTGATGAGAGAGAACATCAATTGACCACCTCCTGCAAGCCCCACACTGGGGATTTCACCCACAAACCTGGGCATGTGCCCTGACTGGAAATCAAATCGGTGACCTCTTGGTGCATGGGTTTATACTCAACCACTAAGCCACACTGGCTGGGCTATATATGTGGGTTTTTAAATTTTTTCCCTCATCCGAGTATATTTTTCTGTTTATCATCAGATAGAGTGGGAGGGACAGAGAGAGAGAGACAGAGAGAAACATCGATGCGATAGAGCCACATTGACTGGTTACCTCTTGCATGACCCAACCAGAGCTGGGGATGAACTGCAACCAGGGTACATGCCCTTGACCGGAATTGAACTTGCAACTCATTGGTCCACAGGCTGACGCTCTAACCGCTGAGCCAAACCGGCCAGGGCTATATGTGTGGTTTTTAAAAATCTTAGCAAAAGTGGAAAATAGGCACTCTTACGTGATGCTTGGTATGAATGGAAAAGTTTAAATCCCTTTAAAGATAAACTTGGCAATTCTGCCTCTAGGAATTTCTGAAAGCTGTCTTCACATGTATGTAGAATGACATATATAAAACATTTTTGTCTTCCATTGTTTGTAATAGCAAACTTAGAAATAACCATAATGTTGCATCAATGGACACTGAGTAAATGATGGTACAATACAGGAACATAAGCAAAAAAACCCCACCACTTTATAGATATAAAAGAACTATAAGATACAGAGTTAAATAAAAAAAAATACAAGACGTAGAATAGCACATATAGTGTGCAATTATTGTCAAAAAATAGAAATATATGTATTTGTATAAAATATTCCTAGAAGGAGAAATAATTCTGCCAGCAGGGAGAGAAACTGAGTGGCTGTGAGATAGGAGTGGAAGATGCCTTTTCACTGTATGTTCTTTTAAACTTTTTGAATTTTCAGTCATACTGAATATATCATCTAGTCAAAAAAACATTACTTGTTCTTAAAACAACTGCAAGATAAAGGAAGTTTATACATCTTTTTTTTTTTTTTAAACTCACCTGAGGACTTTTTTCCATATTTTGTTCAGATAGAGTGGGAGGGAGGGAGCGAGAGAGAGAAACATCGACATGAAAGGGACACATCGAGTGGTTGCCACCCGCACGACCCAACCAAGGCTGGGGACAAACTGCAACCCAGATACATGCCCGTAGTGGGAACTGAACCCGGGTCTCTGGACCACAGGCCGACACTCTAACCGCTGAGCCAAACTGGCCAGGGCTTAACCTGCACTACCCTAGATGGTTCTTTTTGCCTTTAAATTTTAAGAATCATAATTCAGGAAGATTTTTTTGAGCATAAAAATTAGCATTGTATGCTCTTGCCAGTGTGACCCAGTTGGTTGGAATGTCGAACCCAAAAGGTGGCGGGTTTGATTCCCACTCATGGCACATACCCAGGTTGCAGGTTCCACCCCCAGTTCAGGCACATATGGGGGCAAGTGATTGATGTTTTTAATATCGATGTTTTCATATCTCTCCCCCTTTCTCAAATCAGTGAGAACATTTCCTTGGGTGAGGATTTAAAGGTAAAAAAAAAATAGCATTGTGAATATTTGGAAATAGCACAGTGAATGAATTTGAATTTATTTAGCTTTAATGTACTATTTTTAAGTTATTTGAAAAGCAAAACTTCTGCTTCTAGGTAGCATGGCTAAAGAACAATGAGAAAAACCACTTAAAAATGTAAAATTGTCTACTTAAAACCATCAGCGAGCTACTGAAACAGTGACTAAGGGCTAAGATTCTAGAGAGTGGAGACTTAAGAGAGGTGACCTGATGTTTGCAACCACTTTTTTGCTGGTAGCATGTGCTATTCTGAATGCAGTACATTTGGGGCTGCTGCTGGTGAACAAAGAAACCAGCTTCAAAGCTCTTGGCCATTTCATGAAGCTAGAGTGACAGTATCAGAGATATGAGGTCTTCAAAACACAAGGCCAGGTTTCCCATCAAGATACTTGCAATGCTTTGAAAGTGTTCAGCATACAGCTAAAAGGATGAAAACCTCTGAAAAGCAGAGAGTTGTCATCAGGATTACGGTGCTGATGAGAAAAGAATAAAGTGCAGTACCTACCAAGGGAAGGAAGCCTGTAAACACACCAGGGTTCCAAATAAAAGCCCTAGAACAGGGGTCTACAAACTACATTCCAGGGACCGAATCTGTATGCCACCTGTTTCCGTGGGGCCTGT